CGAGGAGAGAGAGGAGAGAAGAGAGGAGAGAGAGAGAGAGAGAGAGAGAGAAGAGAGAGAGAGAGAAGAGAGACGAGAGAGCGCAACATTCGATGTGCTCGGCTGAGCGAGGAGAAGAAGGAGGAGAGAGAGAGATAGAGATTAGAGAGAGAGAGACGAGAGAAGAGAGGAGCTGAGAGAGAGCGAAGAGAGAGCACGAGAGAGAGAGAGGAGAGAGAGAGAGAGAGTAGAGAGAGACTGAGAGGAGAAGGAGAGCGAGAGAGAGACGAGAGCAGACTCGAGTCTAGCGAGAGAGAGAGAGAGAGAGAGAGCTAAGGTTCGTTAGCTCTGCTGATCGGATGTTTAGCTGTAGGAAACTGCTCCGAACGTCGCGTAACCACGACGACCCTCGCGTCGCGTGCGAGAGAGAGCGAAACGTGCGACGCGCGTCGGTTTCCATGTTCGCTTGTTCCCTCTTCGCTTTGTGTCTCGGCTGCAGACCGATCGGATGAATTATAGAAACCAGAGTGACCAACGGCGGCTGTTTATTCATTCCAATGTTATCGATCCGATTCGATCGTATGTTGCAGAAACAGTCAAAAAATGGAAGATCGGGTAGAAAAAAAATGGGGGACCAAAAAGTGACGCGAGTTGTGTTGTTATCGGCCGTCCTGCCGCGGGGTAAAAAATTGCCGGGAAGGTTGTACGGTTCACGATCATGTATGGTTTTACACCACTGTCGTTTGATTTTCAATAAATTTGTGTAGTTTGAATGACTTATGTTGAGCAGTTTGACATATATTCACGATGATTGGTCTATATATTTTGTTTATAATTAACTTTATTTCCAAAAGTATATAATATATATATATTGTACAGTTCATTTTACACAATGTCATCAATAATGCAAAGGTAACAAGGATGGTACAAGAGTCTGGTTAAAGATACAGACAAATCTATAAAACAGTTTTGCGATGCAAAATAGCTTATACTTCTAACGCAGTTATATAATGTATGCTGGTGTAAGACATCACTGGAAATGCTTAGCATATTATAGTATCATTAATGGTGTACCTTGACTGATCGATCATATTTGAAATTGAGTCTTTCTTCGAAGTACTTAAAAAACGTGTAAATGTCATGAGGCCACCATTTTTTATTTTGTTGGTTTACAGAATTTTTGTTGTTGTTGACTCGGTAGGGTAAAAAAAAAAAATGAAAAAAAATGTTTTGTCAGATCAAACAAGTCAAAATACAGTTGATACTGTTATACATGATATCAGGAGCGTATAATGACAAATATTTTGTCATGATAATTTTGTCATGATATAATGACAAGTATTTGTCATTATACGCTCCTGATGATATTAAAGTATTTTAAGAAAACTAAATGAAAACAAAACTCAACTTGTAATTATTTTTACTTTTATTATAAACTATTTGTTTATGAAATGTTTTTGTTTTTTACATTGAAATTTTTTTTATTCATATTTCTTAGAGAAAACGTCGGCGGGAATAAAAAAATACAGATTTTCAATTATTATTTTTTTTCGTTTTTCTTGAAAATTCGGGTCGGCGGATCTGTAAACCAACAAAATAAAAAATTCTCGCCTCAGAGCTACCAATTCTTACACATATACACATGCTTTCTTTATATCACAGAGTTCGTGTCATTCATAATCTACGTAAAAAAGTTGTCAATTTACCTTAGAATTTGTCCATCCTGTTGTTTGTCATAGTCATATTTTTCGACTTCCATTATTACGTTTTTCAAGTATGCTTTGGCTGCAGCAAAGTTAGCCCTCTTCCCGCTTAAATTGTATCTATACGTATATAGTTAACTTGGCAATCAATATGGAGTCATAGACATGGTAGCTATGAAAGCATCTATTCACTGTCTACTCTTCATCCCATCTCATCTACCTTCCTTACTCTCGTTCGCCTCTGCATCACATCTTTCTCTTCCTCCCCTGGCTCCCCATACCTCCGCTGCCTCCCCTCCCGATATATATATGTTTTAAAGCAGGGCATTACAGATAAAAAATGTGAAGAAATTACAGAAGTACAATTAAGATATGATGATGTACGTGCTGCTACTCTCAATAATAAAGATTCTGTGTTCAGATGTTATTACAGACTAGTTCAGGTTCAGGTAGTGGCAAGGCTAGAGCAGATATTTACGTAGTATAGCAGTTATTACAGAATAATACATAATAATAATATTATTATAATAATTATGTGCAGGGCCGGACTAAGCGTGTGGGGGGCCCGGGGCACGTAATTGCGTGGGGGCCCTATAGTCTGTATTTTTTCTGCACTTTCATGCTTGCAAATTCAGAGAGTATTTCATCGTGTTTCAACGAATTTAAAATGTCACTTTCGATAGCGAGAATACTGAGGTTTACCAGTCTCTGTTGGCTCATCGTGGTTCATATGGGATTTTTAATCAACTTGAGTTTTGAAAATGACCTTTCACCGCTACAATTCATGACCATCAATGAAAGATAGATTCTCAGAGCAATTTCGGTATTAGGGAAAGTGTCCTTCAGCTGAACAGCAAAATTCAGTCAGAGAAACAGCATGGGAAACGCATCACTTCAACGTTACATGCTAAGAATTTTGTGGATCACAATTACGACAGATTTGTAAATTTTAGGATACTCTAAATGTGGGGGGCCCCAAATGTGGGGGGCCCCAAATGTGGGGGGCCCGGGGCACGTGCCCCTGTTGCCCCGCCCTTAATCCGCTAGTGATTATGTGTATGTTTTACAGAAGGTTGGCAGTAGTATGCAATGCAGATGTTACGCGCGTAGCATACATGCGTGTTGTTTATCTTTGATGAGATCATATATGTAAATCAAGTCACTCGGTATCAATTCAATTTAATTAAACAATTATATATTGCAATTACATATATGCATTTGCAGGATTTGTAGATGGTACTATTCAATGTAGAAACTGTATGGGTTGAATGCTAGGGTAGACGATATATAAGGTGGTAAACTAATAGTGAATAGTGAATGTGTGTAAATCATGTTTAACTCCGTATCGATTCAATGTAAATTAAAATATGATTGATATAAGGTCGTGATTGTAGAAACTGTATATGGATTGAATGCTAGTGCAGAGCAACGTTGGAAACTAATGGTGAACAGGATTATGTTCGTAGTTTATCTTTGATGAGATCATATATGCATGTAAACCATATATGTCACTTATCACTATCAATTCAATGTAAGTAAACAATTATATATTGCAACAATATTTGTAATTATATTGCGGGTTAATGTGCTTGTAGATGTTACTATTCTATGTAGAAACTGTATATGGTTTGAATGCTAGGGTAGAGGATGTAATGTGCGAAACTAATGGTGAACAGGGTTGAGATCATATATGTAAACTTGTACTTGTTGATGCTTGTAGATATTACGTTTTTATTATGTTTGTGCTTGTAGATGTTACTATTCAATATAGAAACTGTATGGATTGAATTAATATATATGTAAATCAAACAAGTCAAATAAAAACGAAGAGTAATTTTTTTTTATAAATCTATTGAATCACACACAATACATACATCAATTATCCACACTTAGCATTAATTATTATCATCATTATTATCAAGAGCGGATAATACCTAGAGTGTACAACGGAAAAACGGGAAAATAGTGCTATTTCACGACTACATTATTCTACTTTGCCTGCGAGTCTATAATAATTTCATGGTATTGCATTAAGCAGAATTCTTTGCTCTCTAAAACAACACCAACCGCTTGTCAATACGATACTCTTAGGCGGAGATATCGGCTCCTAAACCTCCCCTCCCACATGCCAAACGCCACCTCGAATCCACTTCTGCCAGCATCCTACACGCGGCTAAGCGTTGCTTCGTGAAAGTTCGGTTTTTCCGCGATAAATTTATGAATGGACGGTGCTTCGGTTATCATAGGTGTCATACGGGTGCCTCGCCTAAGTCCTTATCTTACATTATCTTTCCTA